CGCAGGGACACTAGCAGTCACCTATGTACTTTGTCTAAGGCTTTCTCCACGTTCAGGAAAACAGCGACTGTACTCAGTGTTCCCCTCCCATTTGCCACCAACTATCTAGCAATGAATGTACCGTCTATTGTCCCTTTTCCTTTCCTAAAGCCAAACTACTCCTTTCCTAAAATGGGCTCTGCTATTTGGCAAATGCAACAAACTAGGATTCTCCATTTCAAGCTGTAGGACAGCAACTTAATTCCTCGGTACTTTGAACAGTTGTGTACACCACCTTTTCGTTTGTCTATTGGTACCAGTATGGACTTTCTCCGTGCTCTGGGCATTTTCTCCTCTTTTCATACTATGCATGGGACTCACGTGAGCCGGCATATATCAAACTCTTTCAAGGCTTTGATCATTTCTGCTGTGACTTTGTCCGGACTTGCTGCTTTTCTGGGTGCCATCTTCAGCAATGCAGCCTTGACCTCTGCCTTCCACAGGTCATGAAAAGCCAGGATTGCTGGTTCACACAATGGCAGTGTGGCACATGAATGGTTCTCATCACTAAGCAGACCCTCATAATATTCTTGCTATCAGGTACGTACTAGCAGCCTGCCCCTTGCATCCTTCATAAATGAAGTGTCCACTCGGTCTTTCTTCCTTTTGTTTTTTGTCCGAACCATCACTTATATTTTCTTTTTGGGAAGTTGAGGGCAGATGTTCAACTCCTCATACAGCTCCTCTAAAGCTGGGCTTCTCGCCTGTCTTGACTGCAACATAATTTGCACAAATGCGGGCACATGCACCCACAAAACCATCCTTCTCCATACCTTTGACCCCAGCACCCTCTCTCTCTCTCAGACACACGCATTCCTGCCTCTCCCCAGATTGGTTACAATGCTCCCACCCCCCAATAGCAGCTGTTTCCATTTCAAGCCTTCCTTATAATGAACGCTCTCACCTACAGATAAATGAGCTTGTTAAACAGTGCTACAGACAGCTTCCTGCCGGGCACACAGAACAGAAGTGCCAGGGAAGAAAGCTGGCTGGGAACATTTCTACCCCGACAGGTGTGCGATGCCTGCTTGGACCTTGAGTTTAACCTTGCAAGAAGAGAAAACTACAGGAGCATCATTCCTATATTTAGCTACACCCCCTCCCTCTCCAGTTAACCTTCTGTTTTGCGTCAGATCTATCCCCAGGTCTAGGGCTGAATTCAGATCTCTGAACTGTTCTTCTCTTTCAAATGCCACTCATTCAAGACGTCTGAGTATTTATTCCCAGACATCCAGGCTAATTAGAAATGGAAGCGGGGCAGGGGATCTCCAACCCTTTCCAAGGATTTTAAAGCTGGCTAGACATCAGACACCACCCTGGGCTTCTGTCACTCCTGCCTGGCAGTGCTGAGCTATCCAGGGACATGGTGCATTTAATGACATTTCTAAGCAGGATAGCCACATTCATATGAAAGGCAGAGGCACAGCGTGGGTTAGGGCCTGATCCCAAGGGGAGTAGCTGAAAGCCAGTGGCTCCTGTTGAAATTGATGGGAGTTCCGGGTGCTTAGTACCTTTCGGGATCAGGTCCTGCAGTCTGGAACATGTTTTGAGAGCTCTGTGGTGCACGCTAAATCAGGGCAAAATGACTTGGATAATTCATCCCTTAAGTGCACCCTAGGACAAATGTTATCCCCCAAACACGCCAAAACAGCCTTCGCAAATTCTCTTGTAAGGTCGCACTCCCCTTCGCTCCCAACCGTGGCTATTGATCGATATAGTGCCGTCTGGCAGAGCGAGGCACCTCTCGGTAATCAGCCTGCCGGGCAGCACTGAATAAAATAAAGCATGCTATGGCCCAGGGCTTTCTTCCGCTCCACATACTGATGAGGCTTCAGGAGCGGATTTTTCTGCTTCGCTCAGAGGACAGCATAACGGACATACCATACTCTGCACACTGGTGCTAAAAAGCATGAAAGGGTTGGCTTGCAAGGCAGGCACTGAAAAGCTGGAGAGCTTTGGGGGAAAAGGAGCCCCACCCCCTTCCTTCCGCACTTTTAGCCTGTAGTCTCGCACAGCAGCGGGCCAGGCTCAGAGACAGCAGGCACGGAGGGCTCCGGCCTTCTGAGCATTTTGTGTTCATACAAAAGGAAGAAGAAGAAAGAGAAAGGAAAGGCAAGAGGAAAGTGACATGCATGAGAAACACTTCCAGGCTCCGACTTCAAAGAACCCAGGGCCACCCCCTTGGATCCACATGAAGGTGACACAAAGCAGGGAGGAGGGACATGACCAAACCAATCTCCCTCCACAATGGCTGTTTTTCTCTTCTCCTTATATGAAAATAACAGCTCCTGTCTCCCCTGGGGCCGGCCTGACTATTTCATCAGTGAAGCAAAACATCTTGTCCCTTCACAGATTTTTCTTTGCCACCACCAGGAGAGGTGCTAGCTCACAGGTGCCTCTTCTCAGCCTGAGTGGTTAGAAACCTCAGCCTGACTGGTTAGAGGCCTATCAAGGCCCAAGCAGCACTGGGTCTCAGAGCTGGGTCAATTGACTCAGGCTTGTGGGGCTGAAAATAACTCTGTAGACATTCCCCTTTGGGCTGGGGCCTGGTCGCTGAGACCCTCCCTCCCTCACTGGCTTCTCACTCCAGCTGCAGCCCGGGCTCTGGAACATCCGCACTGCTCTTTTTAGTCCGACAATCCCAGTCAGGTGACCCAGGCTATGAGACAAATCTTCGTGGGTTTTTCTTTGCAGTGTAGACATAGCCTTAGAGTTGCTCCACAATTAACGATGCTTCCACGGGTCACAGAGTGAATGGGTCTCCCATGCACTGACATCGATAGATACCGTAGCTGGATAGGTAGTCCTATCTAATAGAAAGATACTCATCTGTATGTCTGTCCAGCCACATATATGTCCCTCAACATCATTGTAGTGTCTGAGCACCACAGTCCCAGCAAACTGAAGATGGCAATGCTTCACCAGCTTTCTTCCATGGGTAACGCCGATGCCCCTGGGTGGGTCGGTGTTAATGGGGATCAAAGCTGGGACCTCTGGATCTTAATGCGCAAGCCTCTACTGCCTGAGCTAAGTCAGCCACTTCTTAGCCCAGGCTATAGCAGGTTCATTGATCTGCCGCTGGCCTAACGCTCTAGAGGGGGACATGGCTTACACGTCTCCTGAGACTCAGAAGGATGGAGAGGAAACATCTGACTCCCCTGGGACCAGTTAGTTCTGCACATGTGCATCCAACATTGGCTTCCTTTCAAACATTTCTCGTTTCAAGAGGGCGTGGACCCAGGATAGTCTGTCTCTGTTCCCAGCTTTGCTAGGAGCCTGATCCAACGGCCATTAAAGTCAACAGTAGTTGGACCAGTTGCTGTCCTGCTGCGAGTCCTTGCGCAAGCCACTCCATCTCACTGTGCCTCTGTTTCCCCATCTGCAAAGTGGATAGAATACCTCCTTCAGAGGGGAGCCATGAGGTTTCCGGCTCGTAAAGTGTTTTGAGACTTTATCTGTAAGGCGCTATGGAAGCACAAAGCATTATTTCAAATCTCAGCCACTAAATACTTTTTTTTTTTACACCAGAAAAGATAGACAATGAAGGCAAAACCAAGTTGGGTCGATACACTTTCCCCCCACCAAGCTCTGACTCCTATGCTTTCTGTTTTGAGGACTGTCTGGGAGCTGGACGAGAGAGGAAGAGAAGTAGAGGAGCAAAAAGGATGAGAGAAGAAGTAGGATTAAGTGAGAGAAAGAGGAAAAATACAAAGGTGTGAAAGAGGAAAGGAAGTTTGGAATAAGTCAATTTCCCTTCCTCCCCTGCTCTCTCCACTCACACCCATGCATACAAGGTTGTGTCCAAAATTCACCCCTTCCTGGGAATTATGGTTAAGTTACAAGCCTTTGCTTGGCTTCTTCCTAGATCTTCTATGTTTGTCCCCAATTCCCTCTAAGAGCCATGACCCTGGATGGGAGTTTATGAGCCTCCCCATATCTGGCTGTCATGTGAGTCAGCCAAATAACCCTGCCTCTCGCCACAGAGTCCTAAACCCACATCCCTTGATGGAGAAGAAAAGCAGATGAGAGGCGCTATTTGGAGAGAAAAATCCTGAAGTTCTTACTCAGGCTTTTCCAGCCTTTATCCAGGCAAGACTCCCACTGAAGCACCCCCCCACCAAGGTTTTGGCATTTGGCCCAAAATTAAATGGTGAAAAACCCCCAAGAAGGATCCAAGATGGAAGGAAAGCAGCAATAAGTCCTTTTGCTATACAACCAGCAGCAGAACCATGCCCCAAACCACCACAAGAGAGGCCAGTGTGGATTTTTTCCTATTAATCAGATTTGTTATTAACATCAGAGTTAATGGTCAGCACGGGAAACGTCACAGAAACAGGTTCTGGTCTGATCAACTGCTTCCCAGCTGCAAGTGCCACTGACGGTTCTATTTGCATCTGAAAGAGCCTTGTTTCCATCTCCAGTTCAGGAAGGGTGTTGGCGCTTTGATGTTCAAAACCACCTCTGATTCTAAAAGCCTGTAAGAAGGGCCTCATTTTCTATTCCATTCTATTGAACCTGGTTATATTTTGTCAGGGCCTTGCTGGCTTCATTCCCATTCAGTTCTGCAGGATTCTGCCATTTCAAGGACTTAGAAGATGGAGCTGAAACTAAAATCTAGACAGAAAAATCACACAGAGGTGTTTTCTGGGCATCACCTGGAGAGTCAAGAGAACAAAGCTGTGAATTTGGGGAATGGATCAGAGACCTGGGGGTCCTCTTCCCCATCACCCTGCCCACTTCTGTAGTCATTTGTACCACTGCAAAGTGAATGCAAAACACCTTGGAAGCATTCTGCACTATGCCTGGTACAGGGCAATGGCACAGGACCTAGAGAAGCAAAGGGCCAGCCCTTGTTCTCGTAAGAACTGATGGAAGATGGAATGACAGAGTGGAGGGGGCTTGAACTTCCATGACAAGAGGAGATGAGGCCCCAGGGCTTTGAATTTCTCCCCCACACTCACCTTTTTCTCATCCCCCTCTTGCAGAAGCTGCAGGTGACTCCTCTTCTCGCCGTCCTTCCGCAGGGAGCTGCTCTGGTGCTGAGGCAGGCCCATGGGCGGGGATGCGCTCCGCCCCTGGGGATCCACCCAGGTGTAAATGTGATTGGTGACATAGCCCCCAGGGATCCGCCCAACTGAATGAACTGACAGGTTCAGCTTCTTGGAGCCTTTCAGAGCCTGTGAGACAGTCCGGGAGAAAAAAGGAATTAATTCCAGAGCCCAAGGGAAAGAACAGCAATTAACGCTAATGGAATTTCAATAATGCCAAAGCTTTGCTTTTCTATGGAACCGTTCATCTGGTGATCTCCAAGAACTTTACAAACATGGATGGAGCAAGCCTCACAAATCCATGAAACTGATACAGAACTCAGGATCTCTGAACCCTCTGCTGAAATGCAGCCACTTCCGGGGTAGATCACAACAGCTGTTTAACAGCCCACATTGTCCCTATAGGACAAGCGGCAAAGAAGAGCTCATAACAACTTGAAACTGCAGCAGGGTCAGAGGGAAGCATGTTGGAATGAGGATAGGACACTGGAGTTAACTCTAATTCTTATGCAAAGCACCAGGGGATTGAGAATGATCTCACATGGGCAGGATGCTGTATTCTGTCTAATGTAACTGTGAGTACCAGATGGGTCTCCTGAGTTGCAGACAAGTGCCCTAACCACTGGACTATCCTTCCTCTGCAATATTTGCATCCGGATCTACTGTATGCTCTTGCCATATTTGAGGAGCAGCCACACACTGTTATCCAGAGTTACATTAGGCAGGGTGCAAATGCTTTAGAGGAGATATATTTCCATGTCTCTGGGCATAATCCAACCCCTACAGCATGGGGTTAGGAAGCAGCTCCTCTGATAGGCAGGCTATTCCATACTCATGCACGAGGGGTTTTCTTTTCTTGCACCTTCCTCTGAAGCGGCTGGGTCTGGTCTTTGCCAGAGCCAGGCTCTCAGGGGACAGGGACCATGGGTATGGCAATTCCCCAGGCCTGCTCACCCCAAATTCCCCACGCCATCCTCACCACATCCCAACCGCAGGACTCCTCCAGTCGTCCAGGACAGGGGATCTCTGCTGCTCAGGAGCAGCCTAGGACTGACCCAGGTCTGGAGACGGAGCCATTTCTCCTCCTTGGGAAAGAACGCCAGACCAGGACAGGACGACATGATCGACAGGGACTGGCGCTTGTGGAAACCTGCCCTGCCTCTGCCCAGGCCATTGAAGACAATTGGAAAGATTCCCATTGACTTCACTGGGCTTTGGACCAGGCCCATAAATGAGAACCTCAGTCTCAGGTGCCATTCATTACCGTACGCCTCCCAAGCACAAATAGTCAATTAACATGTGCAATAATTAGTTAAAAAACCTCCACCCCATCCTGAGGGGACCAGGAGATCCAGCGGGGTCTGTTTCCCCTCTGGCAGGTACTGCAAAGGGCCGACGGACGTTCTGTAGTTAAATCTCATGTAATTAACGCTAGGGAGCTCGACCAGCTGCTCACAGGGCTCAGTAACAGCGAGGCAGCTCAGCGTTCACAAGCGGCCAGTGGCTGCGTTGCTGGTTTAACATACATATGCCTGTGGGGCAGACACAGCACATGCTCACCTTGAATGGGTGGCAGGGAGCGTGTGCCAAGGAGCCCAGGGCGTAGAAGGGGTTTGGGCAGTGCTTGGGGCAGTAGCAGGGCTGGGGGCAGCTGGTGGGGCAGGCATTTGCCTTGGCCCCAGAGATGCACAGCAGACTGAGGAAGGGGACCAGTCAGGGCACCTGGAGCTTCAAGGTATCCCCACACCCCAGCCCCAGGCACTCACAGCAGTTGCCTGCCTAGATCCCGCTGCTGCTTTCGTGCAGCTGGCAGCGGCAGCCGCCCCCACCCAGGGGAGACAGCCTTCCCACCAGCCCAAAATGGCACAGATCTGCCTGGCTGCCCCTTCCCTGCCCAGCCCAGCTCCAGGCCCCCACTTCCAGGTGTTGAGGGAGTTAGACCAGCAGAGAAACTCTCCAGGTTCAGAGGACATATTGTGGGGGCAGAAAAAAAATAGATCACTCCTCCCCCGACAATGTTTCTGTGACTGGGATGCTCGCCCCCACCCTCCTCCTGGTTCTTCCACCCGTGTTTGGGGGCCAAGTCTCCTGGTGAAACTAACTGAAGCACCATGCCTGGGGTGGGGACTTGCCAAGAGGTGCTGGTGTTGGCTGCTCTCAGATCCAGGAAATGGAATTAGATAGACACCTGCACTGATCTGGTGGGGCAGTTCCGATGCTCCCCCTGCAAGCAGATCCCCATATCGGCTGCGGAGAGGAAGCCCTGGATCCAGCACATCACCCATTCCCCGATTCCCAAGCTTCACCATGGTAGCCATTGCCTTCAAGTTACCTCCAGCCCACTCAGGGAGTTTAAGGGAAGTGTCACTGAGATTGGCCACCACTGTAACCCCACTCCAGACACGTGCTGCCACTCTCAGTCCCAGTTAAGAAGGTTTATTCTTTTACAGCAAAGGTTAAACAAACAACCAGAGAGCAGCCTTAAGCCAGCACCTGGCCCCAGGCTTCAGGGCCACCCCTCCCAGGGGTCTCTGACACTCCAGCTGCTGGCAGCTTCTGAGCCTCAGCCTTGGAGCAGCAGTCCCAGGGCTGCTTCTCTAAGCCCTCCCTTGCTCCAGGGACTCCCCACAGGAATTGGCCTTTGTAGCCCAGGGCTTTGTTTATCTCAGTCCTCCTCTCAGCTGCCTCCTAGCAGCCATTCATAGACCCAGGTGTAACACAGCCCTCCTTAATTAGCTGGATTAGGCTCACATGCTCCAGTCTGGGGCACTGGGCTCAGGCTATCCACAGAGACAAGCTACCCTGTGATGGGGAGGAGCTTTTGTGCCCGCCCACTTCCCAACACCCAGTAGGGAGCTACCCTGTGACAGGAAGTCTTTAAAAACAATGCATGCCCTTGGATCAATGGCAGTGACTTCTAAAGCCAGCAGTCTGCTCAGGGGCAGTACCACCCCCACCCCGACAGGTACCTACTGAGAGAGCTGAGGGTCCAAACATGAATCCACCCTGGCTTTGCCTTAGCAGTGAGTGCCCTGTCCCGAGCAAGGAATATAATCAAAAATAATACCTGACAGCTGTATAGTATTGTACAAGCATCAGCTAATTAATGTGGCTCATGAACTAGTTGATCTGTTCTGTATGAGCTAACATCCAAGCCAGAAGACCAAGAGAACAGATTTAAAAATTTTATTAAAGTTAATGTTTAAAATCAAATTTACACAAGTTAAGAGGGAAGGTACTGTACATCTGGGGTATCTACACTGCAAAAACCCCCAAACGAAACGAAACAAAACACACACACACCCCTCGGCAGCAAGCTGCGGAGCCCAGGTCAACTGACTCAGGTTTGTGCTATGGGCTAAAAGGAGCGGTGTAGCTGCTCCTGCTCGGGGAGGGGCCAAGGCTCTGAAACCCAGTGAAGGGGGAGGGTCTCAGAGCCCAGGCTCCAGATCCACTTTCCCCCTCTACTAACCAGTAACAAAGCTCTGAAACCAGCAAGCCCCAGATGGGTTACGGAGGCCCTGAAAACAAGCCGCAAAGACTCAGAATGTGAAGGATGCATGGAAAAACCCCATAGCACTCAGCCTACAGTGATGGGAAGCAGTATAAAAACGCTAAGATAACAGCCCTAAAACAGAGAATGTAACAGAAAATGAGACTGTCAATCATTTTTTTAACCAACCTATAAAACATAAGAATTATTGCCCTGCTATTCAGTCCTACAGCGTGTGTCGAAACAACCTATAGAAAGGGTCGTGTTCTCTATTAAATGCTATAGGGTTTTAGAGCAATTTCTTTAGAACCCTGTTGCATTTCTATATTCTACAGAACACTGTTCATTTCAGGAGAGACAACAAGCCACGGCCAGCAAAGTCTTTTCCTTGCAGAGGACTATACCAAGTAATCACAAATAAATGCAAAAGAGCAGGAAAACAAGCAGAGGTGGTTTTGTCTAGTGGACAGGCCACCAGGTTGGGAGTCAGGAGACCCGCGTTCTGTTCCCTGCTCTACTGCGTGACTGGCTAATGGCTTCACCCCCCCTGTTTTCCCCTCCCACCTTTGTCTGTCTGATATATTAGAGCGTAAACTCGAACTGGGTCTCACACAGCCGTGCTGTCCACACTGCACTCCACAGACTTTCTGACTCTGGTCTGCAGCTTGAGAGACGTCCACACTGAAAACAAGGCTTACACCGGAGTCACAGAAGGACTCGGGCTCTCACCCACTGCCCTAGCAGGGTCTTAGGATTCAGGTCCTGAGTGCTTGCTGACCTGAGTCAGCACGGGTTTAGTGTGCAGTGTAGACATACCCGTAGGGGCAGCCGGAGATTGTCTCTTATTCGGTGTTCATATAGCCCCTAGCACATATTTGTTACCACAGAGCCAAGCGCCATGGGGCCTTGAACTTGGTTTCTAGGTGCTACTGTTACTTAATGTTAATAAAGAGAAAAACTCCTCACCGGAGGGTCAGCTCAGACTGATGACCCTGGCTGTGCAGCCCACTGTTCCCCAGTGCATTCTTCTCCATCTGTCTCCTAAGCATCCATCCCAAAGGGCCTGATTCCCCAGCACCCTAACCAGCACTGAGAGCCAAGCTTCACACCCAGAATTAGTGCAAGCTGGTGCAGGGATGAATCCTTCCCCAGTCCTTCCTCTAATCGCCTGTGCAAAGGAAGGGGGGAGCTAAGCTGAAGTTAACCCCTGATTTGTCATGCGGCAGATCCTGCCTGGCAACAGTGAGGCTAGAGAGAACCTGAGCTCGCCTGAGAAAGCTTGCCCAACCATTGGCGTGACCTCGGTCAGGTTCCCAGCCGCACCACGCCTGGCCTTGGTCTGACACGAGCCCATACAGCCGTGACATTGCAACACATGTAGGAGATAAAAATGCCAGAAAAGGCAGTGGGGGAACCGGGATGGGAGCCTGTGGGGAGGAACAATCATGACCATTGCCGGTGGGAGGAGATGAGCGGAGGGGTGGCTCTTCCTTTCCTTCTGAACTACCTGTCAGCCCCTGGCAGAGTCGGATCACCAGGGGAGCTGCTCTCGGAAAGCTCGGTAAACAGTTTGAGAGGCTGAGCGGCTGGAGATTTACAAGGTACTTTTAAGGTCCCCCTCGTGTTCCTCTGACCG